CGCGTACGGCAGAAGCGTCGAATGCGGAGGTGGTTGTGCAGGTATCTCAATATCTTGTCGTCGTTTCGTGCAGCGGTAGGGCAGACACATTCCGATGGCATGGGTAGCTGCGAAGAGACGGTGTCGAGAAGGAAGGGTGGGGGGAAGAAGTACAGTGCAGACGCCTCAAGACGAGGAACAGGCGACACGTCCTGCAACGCACGAGCCCACGAGTCGGGAACGTGATAGAAGGGCAACGGGATAAAGGACTTGGATGGCTGAGGAAGAGACACTGCGAGCGCGTCAGCCGCCGCGCCGCTGTCGGCAGCCACCTGGCGCCTGCGGTCCCGACGATTCTTCTTACGCTTCTGGCCTTGTTGGCCGCTTCCAACCGCCGGCCGCATATCGAGGTGCTTCGAATGCACGTCGGAGCCGTCCAGGCGGGCCCTCTTGCCTTCCGAACGTTGCTCCGCGATGGACATGACGGCCGGTGTGTCTGTCGTCTGCAAGTCCGGAACGTGCGTGCCGCAAACGAGCTTCGAGACGGCCAACACCATTACGCGCTGCCAGTTGCCGGTAAGGTTCGCGATCCCTGCCACCACACCAGGTTCGTGATAGACAGGCGGCTCGCATGGGGTTCCAGACATATCCGCCGGTAAGGTTTTGAGCGGCACGACGCGCCATATCTTGACCGTGTGTGTGAGAGGCTGGAGAAACCACGTGGGCAACCCGATCCTAGTGCAAGTCTGGGCGCCGGTGCCCTCTCGGACAAACGTCCCCACGACAGGCAGAACTTCCCAGCTATGATCGAGACCGCCAGACAGTCGACGGTGTACGACTTCGAGATATGTGCACATGCCAGCTAGTTCCAGGGAGATGCGTTGGGCGTGGGCGGCGACGGCGATGGAGGTACGTGCGGCCGAAGGCAGCTTGTTCATACGATCTAATGCCTGGCGGAGGATTGTCACAAGTACGGTAGCGTGGGCGCAGTACTGCTCCGGACGATCTTGCATGGTGCTCAGAACCAGCTCGAACTTGCTTATCTGCCACTCTGCTGCCGTTGTCAGCCGGGTGCGTATGTCCTTCTTGATATATCCCAAATCCCTGACACCAGTTAGCGAATCTTCTTCCCACGCGGAGGTTGGCAAGAGGTTGTCCCAAAGCACTTTGTGACTTTGCATGGCCGGGCGTCGAGGGATGCAGGGTATGTGCATCATGTCAGGAACTAGGACTTGCGGCCACCGCGAATACTCCCGCAATCCCCACCTGCCATCGGCGTACGTCTCAATGACTTTGCATTCGGCTGGATACTCGGGCACGTAGTCCATGTTCGGTGATGTGATCACCATCCCTTGGAAGAAGCCCTGCGCAGCGACCTTGCCTTCAAACGCCTGGCAAACGGCAGGAGCTGCGGAGAGGAGTTAACCTATCTGGGTGTTACATCCCGTGCGACAACAACTCCAATTTCCGGGACTTCATTTCAACTTCCGGGACTTGCACCCTTTTCCGGGACGAATCCCATTTCCGGGACTTAGCACTGTACTTCCGAACTCCCGGAACTCCGGCCGTACCTCCGGTCCTTCAACTTCCGAACTTCCGAACTCCCGAACTCCCGTTTGTATTTCATATGTCTCAGATTGCGTCATTCTCTTTTGTTAGCGCCATAACAATAGGTTTATTGTCTTCTGCTCCGGAACTCCATTTCCGTACTTCCTTATTGTCTCGGCTAGACAATAAGCTTACGTACTACTTATACCGAGCTGGAATACCGTAGTTACTCAGTTCGAATATCTCGTTTACCACATTCTCTTCCATCTTGTTTGTTACCTTCCATACCTCCCCTTCGCTACCTTCAATTCAACTACTTGTCAACCTCCGAACCTCCGAACCTCCGAACCTCCGAACCTCCGCACTTCCGAACCTCCGCACTTCCGAACCTCCACACTTCCGAACCTCCGAAATTAAGGACGAACGGAACAAGTCCCAGGGCGTTGCTAATAGCTTCGCCAAAGTCCTCCTGCTGAGTCATCGTTCCCTAAACCTCCGAACCTCCGGACATCCCGAACCTCCGGACTCCAAGCCTACGTACCCCCGGAATCCGTACTACCGCGTTTTCGGGTTTTCGAACCTCCGCATTTTCGGACCTTTGGACTTCTGCTCAGCACGCTCCTAACACTGGGTGGGAGCACGAGTATGTTCAGAACCTACCTGTGCCATGCGTGTTAACTCCAAATCGGAGCGCGGGGAGGGTGGTACCACGGTCAGGGACAGGCGCAGGCGTTGACGGTGACGCGACGACCGATGCATGCTGCGGCTGTGTCGCTGCTGGTCGGGAAGGGCTGGAGTTCAGATCCCGCTACTGGTCAGTTTAGGTATATACGGGCTCGGGAGTGAAGCTACTCGCCTAGATGGTAGTAAGCGAGGAGTGGTGGGTGGGACTAGAGACGCTAGAGATTCGATTCCCGAACTGTGCGATGGCCCGCGATGCAAGTGTCAGTGATCTTGAGTGACTGTTCCATGTAAATTGCTCACGGGCTGCTCGGTGTGTCTGCGACAGTATGAGCCTCGCGCGGCGTCTTTTTGAAGCGCAAACCCGCCAGACCAGCTCGCCTTGGGGCGCTGTCCGAGCTTGCGTCGGGACGCGGGGGCATCGTGGGATACCTGTGGCGACGGTAGATCGTGAGCTAGCGCACATCTCAGAGTATGTCGGACGCACACACCGTCACCATATGTTGTGGCACAATACTGTTACGAACCGTTTAACCGCCGTGACTGTTTTGCATAACGAACCGTCAAGGTTCGTCATGTGTCACGAAGCTCCGGGGCGGTCCTTTGCCCCCGGTGGGCCCTCCTAGCGCCCTCTCGGCTTCTCGGCGGCCTTCCTAATGCGGCACACCTCCCGGACATACACCAAACCCTCTGCGGGCCTCTCGGCTATGTTGTGAACCTCCCATTTGGGACGGCGGGTCATTGATGCGATCGGAATACAGATCTTAGCGAGAGCGCATGTTTTCCGGCATTCTCGGAATACTTATCCCCTGGCAATGCCCTTGTATTAACCCTCATGTGAGGGGCCGATATCCTCCCCATCCAACTGATACATGGCTACATAGTCCTTGAACGCGTCCTCCTCCTCCTCCGTCGGTGCGTCCGCATCGTAAGCACCGTCCACCCACCCCTCCCATTCACCCCCTGTTCCCGCAGACGCCCGTTTTGCAGTCGGCTGGCAGGCCTTCAAGAACACCCGCGCCATCGACTGGCGGATGCGCGCCTGCTTCAACGCGTACGCCCGCAGCCCCTCTTGGACATAGGGGTCTTGGGAGCACTCCTGGGCCGCGCCGGCGCGTGCCTGCCACCTGTTGCTCTCGTAGCGGTGGGTGGCGAGGACGCGACGCATCTCCTCCGGGAGGAGCCTCACCTCCTCCTCCCAACGCATCTTGCGGGCGCGGCTCTTGAGCCACTCGACGCGGAGACTATCGATGAGCTTCTCCGAGCCCCCGACGTCCGCCGCGCGCCAGATCCAAGAGATCTTCCGGCGACCCTCCGCTGGCCCGGCCTTGTCCCCGCGCTTGCGCTTGCGCTTCTCCACCGCACGAGGATCGTCGTCCTGGATGCCCCGGATGTCGTCGTCCTCCAGAACCTTCAGTTCGGCCTCCCATGGCCCCGCGCCGGAGAGCGCCAGCTTTGCGCGACGCGCGCGCCGGTACTTCTTCGCGGCGCGGGCTTTACGGACCTCCTGTTGCGAAATCCCGGTCCGCGCACGAGTGTTGGGACCCTGATTGCGCACGTTGAGCTTCTTGTAGTGGTAGAGCTGGTCGATCGTGTGTAGCTTGTTCCGTAGGTCTTGTAAGGCGTCCCGGCACTGTGCCTCGCGAAGTCGATCCTCCAGCTCAATGAGCCGCGCGCTGCAGACCGCGTCGCGACGGGATGCGCTGATCTCCGAAGGGAGTCCGATGCGGATGCGCTCCACCTGTTGTACCTCCGTGCAGCACGCCGGGTCCTCCACGAGTACAGGGGCAACGGCCGGCATGTAGATCGACTGGAGTTCGCGAAACTTTTGAATCTTGCGCCGGAGCGACGTTCGCCTTTCGTGTATTTCGGAGAGCTTGCTAGGAACCGCACCCTTGACGTCCTCGAGAAGCCGCGCCCTGACACACGATGAGCATTGGAATGGCCATTGAACGCGGCGCGGACTTACTGTGTTGCCTCCACCTCGAGACCGAGGTTGACGAAGCCGAGCAGAGAGACGTTGTGCAGCGCGACGAAGCCGGGCTTCGCGCTCACCACTTGCTCCTCCTCGGAAAGCACGCGCACGGTCTCAGCCTCAGTCATCCCTAGCGCGCGGTAAGCTCCCGTTCATGCGGCGTACAGCAGGCCACGTACCTTGGGAGATGACGATGTAGGGGTCGTCGCAGCTGCCAGGGTCGGCCTCCCACACTTGGACCTCCGCCTCCCATAACACAACATGCCCCTCCTGCAACTGGTCCGTGAGCGCCTCGAACACGATCTTCTGTTCGCGAAGTTCTTCGATGGCTTCCTTGAGGCGGGTGGCTAGCGTTCGGCCTGGTACGCCGGTGAGAGACTGGGTGGAGGCACGAGTGCGGGCGAGGCCACTCACCGAGCTCAACCATCTTCCTCCAGTTAGAATAACTCCACTGGTCCTCGAGAACCCCTTGACGCATTCCAGGGCCCATCACCTTTGTGCTGTTCGCGATGGGTTGAATCCACCACCACCGCCGCTCGATGCCCTCGCCATCGGTACGCGCGCAGCCGATCCGGAAGTTCAAGGAGAACTTCGAGTGTCCAACTTGCTGGTGGCTGGCGTAATGGAGTTTCGGGATGGCGTACATGATCGAACCCTCCGGGACGGGGATTTGGATGTGGGAGGGGAGGTTCGCGATCCGCTCCAGGATGTTCTTCGACCACTGGCAGGCGATGTCGTAGCTCACGAGCTTGTTGAGGACGAGGTATTCGCGCATAGCGCAGACGAAAATGTAGTCTGTATTGATGTACCTACGCGCGATCAGTGCATGCTTACGAGGGCAAGAAAGGAGTACGAACTTCTCGCCCTTCTGCGTATCACCGGCGCCGAGTGCCAGCCAGAACTCGTGGCGCGCGCACACTATCGCCAGCACGCCCGTCGCAGCGTAGCCTTTGGAGAACTTGTTATTGGCGTGGTCGATTGCAGAGAGACCGGTGCATGTCGACATCTGTCAAAAGTCGTCAGTTAGCGAACACCCCGATCGGGGAAGCGACGGCGCGACGCACCTCCTCCTGGTCCCCATACCCACGTAACACCTCCTGATACCCCGTATCCTCGACGAAATACCCCCACCCACTGCCCAAGATGGGATCCTTGTCGGTGTTGGAGACCGCGCGGCGCTTCAGCCGGAAGCAGGCGTCGATGGCGACGGTCATCATGTAGAGATACCTGAGAAGAAGGTCAGCGAAATGAAGACGTGCAAGTATCGGGACTTACTTCAAGTCGTCCGACACGGTATCCCAGTTCGGAGGGAGGTTGATACCCACGTGGGGACAGGCGGGACATTTCACCGCTAGCTCTCCAGGCTGAGTGTTTGCAACGCCTTCTGGGTCGTGCCCGCGCCCGCACCGCTTCAGGCGTTTGAGATAGCGCCATTGGGCGACGACGCGCATGAACGCCTTGTATCGGTCTTGAATTCTCGAGGTGCCGGTGTTGTCGGTGAGGCGCTCGAGCGACGTGTAATAGTCGTACATCGATATCTTGCCCTGGAGACTCTGGATGTGGTAGTGCTCGAGGAGCTCGAAGGTGAAGACGGTGTTGGGATCGACGTCGGTCGCCGGATAGAGCCGATGGCGGAGTAGCTGCTCCACCGCGTCGCCGGCGTCCCCAGCTTGATCACAGTCGCAGAATGCGATGGAGACGGCGTGTCGACCGTTGACGTGGACCACAGAGAAGTCGGAGCGGGCGAACCTTGGCGTTGAACAGGCGCAACCGTCGCTTTCGTGCCCAAGGCGCACGACGAGGCCGAGCTCCCTGAGAGAGGTTACCACGAACGTGCCGCCATCCCAGCGCTGAGGGTGATGTGAGTTTTACTACAAACAACGCAGCGACGGCGTCCTCACCTGAACGCGATGGTACGGGTTATGCTCGTGGCAACGGACGGCGCAGTCCGGACAGCACAGAGGCATCGGGGAGCAGTCCCGGCAGCGGATGACCGCCTCGCCCGGGGACTTACCCTCCGGGCAAGACTTGCACACGTCGCGCGCGTAGCCGCCGCGCCCGTCTTGACGCAGAAGCTCCCGCAGGTATTTCTCCTGCTTTGGCACCCAGGCATTCATCGGCTCATCCTGCTGGCGCATGAGTACCGGGGTATGTGAGTCTCGCAGCCACAGCACAAGGACGCACCGATGACATATAGCGCATCGCGCGCTCTTCTTGCTCAGCCTCCTGTCCTTGGGAGTCACCTTCGCCAGTCGCCGAGTTTCCATCCAGGCCAGCCGGAGTGAAGAAGGGGTCCTCGGCGTCGAAGAGCCCCGGCCGCAGGGACGGGTCGAGCGAGGGCGCATCAAGAGGGGTGTCCGGAAGGAGGGGGGCGCAGTGCAGCTCGGCGGACGAGGGAAGAGGCACGGATTGTCGGTGCAGTCGACGAAGATCTTCCGAGACTTTGTCGGAGGAGAGATTGTCGGGTGGCAGGGGAGAGTCGTCGAGTGCGAGGTCGAAGTCCGCGATGAGAGACTCGTCGGCCACCAGCTGCTTGCGCTGACGCCTTCCTCTGGCCATGTCGAACGGAGAATAGAATGATAATAAATAAGCTTTAGACTGCAAGCACGAGAAGGGAAGCGAAGAGAAGGGAAGGCGATCTGCGAGAAGGTGAACGGGAAGGTCCGCTGGCAGGGCCTCGCACACGCCCGACGCGAGGAGTCACACCTGTCACGCAACGCGACTGTGGCTGAGTTTGGCCACCCAATCCGTTTCAGGCGCGTTTGTTTGTCTCCCGCCTCCATCTCTGTACATATAACCCTCGGCTCATGCCCGACCACGTCCCCGCCCCCTCAGCGCCCACCATTCCTCGCCGCCCTCTACACCCTGCTCAACTCAAATCATTGCCATGTCTAGGATATACTGTAAGTCTTCCCCTTAGCCCCTCTCGCGGACGCGGACGCCTATCGTGGCTTCGACCTTGGAACCCGGAACGCGCCCGCCATCCGCGACGGGCCTCTGATCTCTTAAACCCCTACTAACTACGTACATCCCAACCCTAGGTCCGACAGCGTCTTTCGCCGGCGCATTTCGCAAGGTGCGTTGAGCCCTCTTACGTCAATCCGCAGGCGCCTCCAACTCACCCGGTGCAGACTCGCTCTGGCGCAGCGTTCTCGCCCTGGGTCAGCAGTATCGGGGTTCCCCTGCACGCTCCGAGCGACTTCGAGCTCGCCACAGTCATTAGCCTCGCGGCTCAATCACAACTCATCGCCGAGACCGAGGGTGGCGAAGACGAAGACGAACTGCCGCTGGTCGAGGACGGGGACGAGGACGGGGACGATGGCTGCGACGGCCGAGCCAAGCACGCACTCCCTCCGAGCCACATCTCCCCTCCCATTCCCCCTGCTGCCGCGAGTGCCTCCGCCGCCCCGCCTAGTACTGCAAAGGAGCAATCTAAGGATGCGTATCACGGAAAGCAGCGCTCAAAGGCTCGCAGGCGGGCTGCGCGATCGAAGGCGCGCACGCAGGTTCTTGGTGAGCCCGCCTCCAATCGCCCCTTGAAGGCCGTCGCACGCAAACGACGCGCTGCCGCCCTCGTCCTCAAGTCCGCCGCCGCTACCGAATATGACATCGCTGCCGCCATCGCGTCCGACGACTCTCGCATCACATCCGCCGGCGCCCAGCCCATCTCAACCGCGTTCTCGCTCGAGATGGGCGACATCCCCGTTGCGAAGACCGGGTTCGTCGGGAAGCGTCTCCGTCAGAAGCCTGAAGACGCCGTCGCCTGGACCAAGGACGCGCTGGTGAAGGACAAGGGCTTCGAGCTGGTGGAGTGGGATGGAGAGTACGTACCCGCGCTGACTACCGGCGTCGATGCGCGCTGACGGCTTCAGTTAGACAGTGTCGCCCCATCCTGGATAAGCACGACAGGGTATTCGGCGTCCTTGCCGGGCATCCTCGCGACCCTACCTGGGCAGAGGTGAATAGGGAGATGATACGGGTTCTTGAGGCGGGCCGGGATGCGTACAACACAGCGCCGAAGCAGGAGAATCATCGCAGAGGCAACTTCGCCGCCGTCTCTTGCGGGATATCTTATGGCGGCGGGCAGAAGGTAAGTCGCCGCCGCGTCGCGCGCGGGGCCTCCTCCGAGTCTGACAGCCCACGATGGCTAGCGCGTAAGCAACCTCAAGCATTCAAAATCCAATCTTGCCGTGCTGGAGAGTATGCTGCAGCAGAAGGCCGTCCGCCGCGTCGCCAACTTCGGCAACGGTAAGTGCAACGGCGTTGGCGGGTAGCCTCGCGGCAGCTAACGTTAGGCACAGGCGTTTTGCGCCTCTTCGCCCCACGCATGCACGAATATTACGACACTACGTTGGCCACTCTGTGCGGCCGCGATCCGAAACTGCGACGCAACTTCCACAACTCGGCGTTCAGCTGTGCCACCTTCAACTTGGGCCCGCGCACGGTAACGCACGTTCACACCGACCACCTGAATCTTCCCTCCGGCTGGTGCAGCATCACCGCGCTCGGAGACTACGACCCCACCGCCGGGGGCCATCTGATCCTCTGGGATCTCCGCATGGTCATCGAGTTCCCCCCCGGCTCGACGATCCTCATACCATCAGCAATCCTTCAACACTCTAACACGGCGATTTCAGATAATGAGTACAGATACTCGTTCACTCAGTACACTCCAGGGGGACTTTTTAGATGGGTTGCATGCGGGTTTCGATCGGTGAAGGAGGCAGGGATATCCGCGAAGGAGCTGAATCGATTGGGTCCAGAGCGTTGGGCGCAGGGGTTGAGTATGTTTAGTACCTGGCCAGAGCTATGTGCAGAAGCCCCGTAGACCACATAAACTACCTCACGCCTGTGCAAGTGCGACCCCATTCTGAATGAATACATGGACTGATGGAAATATATTGCGTGTGGTTCATGGAAGACAGCAATGGGGGAAAACCTTCAGTACCGCTGGACTTGCAGCTGTGCAGACCCATGCAGCTGCACCTGCATCTGAGCGCTAGTTTTTAAGACTGTCTTAAATCCGCCTGGTTCAAATCACTGGCGCCAGACTTACGACATTGCTCCCGTTCTTCTGCAAGTTGCCAGCACGTCCCCTTCCCCGGAGTACCAAAGCCGCTCCCGCGCCGCACTTCCCGCCACATCGCGCCGTCTAATAAATCCGCCGTTTCCCGACATTCGATGGGGCGAAAGAAGATGCCCCTGACACCGGAGGAGGAGAACCTGAGGAGGGAGCGACGCAGGATGGCCAACCGCCGATACTATTATGAAAGGCGTAAACCGTAAGTTGCCTTCGAGCCGCCCGTCACTCCTACCCACCCCCTAAATCCCGTGCAGGCGGCTGCTCT